GGATTACAGGTGCCTGCCACCACCCCCAGCCAATTTTTTGTATTTTTAGTAGAGACGGGGACTCTCCATGTTGGCTAGGCTGGTCTCGAACTCCTGACCCCAGGCAATCCACCTTCCTCAGCTTCCTAAGGTGCTGGGATTACAGGTGTGAGCCACCGCACCTGGCAAGATGTATACTTTTATTGTACAGCTGCCAGGATTTACTGATGGATTGATGAAGCGTACAAGAAAGAAATGCACCTAGTTTGAACTGTAGGATTTTGGCTAACAAATGGTCAAATGGTGGTGTCATTTACGGAGATAGGGAACAGAGGAGAAAAAGCAGGTTTGTGAAGCTGGTTGTTCAGTTCATAACTGAAGTGATGGCTTAAGCCTGTGGGCTGCCAGAGCCTCCCAGCTCATAATATCTGCATTAATTGTAAGCCAGCAGAACAATATATAATGATGTATAGTGTAGTATAGTCTTATCAAATGCATTGCTTCAGAGATTGAAATACATTTAAAGGGACTTGTTTAAAGAACTTTATACTCTTTTATGGATGTGTGAATTGATTATGAAAAAATTTATAATTCTAATCAAACTTCAAACCTGGCTCATTTGGGAACTTGAAAAGGTTTGAAAACATCTCTCTCAATATTTCAATTAGCCTCCTAAACTATTTTCAGCTGCCTTTAATTCCTTCTAGAACAAGGCAGCCGATATGTGAATATAGAATAAAATGAGACAAACACTTCAGGGTCTCCTCTTATCCGGGATTGAGTGGCATCTTTTGTTCTAGCTCTCAACGCTCAGTTAATGCTCAGTCTCTACATGTGCCAGGGGCTTTTCAGTTTATAATTCCCAACAAAACACGTGCCGGCTGGATTTGATCTAAGAAAAAGCAAAAATAGTACTTATCTCTTTAGGATTCTGTAGTAATCAGACGAGGCTGTTGTATTGTTGAATTCTGTGGGGTTTTCTAAGATCAACTGTGCTTAGTGCAATTTGTACTTCCTCATGTATGGATATAATAAGTTTTGAGTCTGGTATTACCATCTGGAAACTAGAATCAGTTGCAGAGCTTAGAGTCTAACAATTCAATTTTTTTTATTTTTATTTTTATTTTATTTATTTATTTGAGACAGAGTCTCACTCTGTTGCCCAGGCTGGATTGCAATGGTGCGATCTCGGCTCACTGCAGTGTCTGTTTCCTGGGCTCAAACAATTCTCTGCCTTGGCTTCCTGAGTAGCTGAGACTACAAGTGTGGGCTACCATGCCCAGCTAATTTTTGTAGAGATTGGGTTTTGCCATGTTGGCCAGGCTGGTCCTGAACTCCTGGCCTCATGTGATCCACCTGCCCCGGCCTCCCAAGGTGCTAGGATTACAGATGTGAGCCACCATGCCCAGCCATTTAAAAAATATATTTTAAATAAAAAGAAATTTTGGGGGGACACAGGTATATATATTTATGGGATACCTGAGATATTTTGATATAAGCATTCCATATGAAATAAGCACCTCATGGAGAATGGGGTATCCATCCCCTCAAGCATTTATCCTTTGAGTTACTCACAATCCAGTTATATTCTTTAAGTGATTTATAAATATACTAGTAACTCAATTTTAATCAATTTCATGAATACTATTTATTCCTTTTTATGACTCACTCCTGACTTAGGACTTTTATGTTTACAATTCCCCTTGCCAGGAGTGCTCTGTTTCTAGATCTCACACAGCTAGCTCCTTTTGCTGTTCAGGTCCCCATCCAAAGGTCACCTCCTTAGTTGTTCTAACCTAAATCAAAATCAGCCCCATCCAATATTATCACTTTACCATGCTTTATTTTCTTCAAAGCTCTCATCACTTTCTGAAATTATCTTGTTCTATTATTATTATTCTTGTCGGTATGTAGATGGCTAGATGGCTCCCTACCAACGAGAGTAAGCATATGTTGAATTTTTTCTATATGCCTTACACAGATTGTACTTAATACAAAAGGTTGATAAGGACAGCTAACATTTATTGCATACTTACTGCTTGCTAAATGCTAGGTTAAGTACTTACCCACACAAGTCCCTATCTGTGTGAACTCATGCCTGGGCTACAACAGTGGCTTCCTAGCTGGCCTCCCTTTTCCCACTGCAGTCCGTGGCCCACATCGCAGCCAGTGCTTCAGTGCTTTTTCTAAAACATTACTCAGGTTCCTCCATGATGAGCTTTCAGCCTCGGGAATGCCTTCGGCCCTCTCAGTTCCTCTTAATAGTTTATAAAATCTGCAGGATCTGGCCCCCACCACCTCTTGGCCGTGTGTCTAACCACTCTCTTTCCCTTGCTCCTCTCTGATCACAGGTTCCAAATCACACTTCCCCCAGGCAGCCATCCATCCACATGGCTTCCTTTGTCACTCATGTCTCTGCTGAAGTGTCACCACCTCATAGAGGCCTTTCCTGAGTCCCTACCCCATGTAAAAGAGCTCTCCAGTCTCTCTGTCTTCATATCATGATTTATTTTCCCCTCACTCATCACTACCCAATGTTCCATGACTGACTTGTCTTCCTTCAGCAAATATTTGTTGAGTAGTTGCTAAGGACTGGGCTCTGTTCTAGGTACTGGGTATACAGAAGGCAAGAAGACGGGCAAATCCCCCTTGACATGGAAATAAGGGGAAACATGCTATACTCACTAAGGAGGTAGAATATATGATATACTAGATGCTTTCGGGCAAGACTAAAGCTGGACAGAAGGCAAGGGAGTGATGGTGCAGGAGAGGGAGAGCTCTACTGAAAATCGGGCAGTCAGGGAAGGCCTCAGGGAGGCAGTGGATCACTGTGCTAAATACTGAAAAGGTGAGGGAGTTAGCACCGTGAATAAGTAGAGGGAAAGAGAAGACACCATGTGTGAAGGCTCAGAAGGGGAAGTCTGTGGCTGCAGGAAGAGCCCGGGGAAAGGAGGAGATGTGGCCAGAGAAATGACAGGGACACCAGGCCACAGGACCCTCACAAGCATGCCAGCCTCACTCAGCCTAGGTGCTTTTCAACAGAGCAGCAGCCTGAGCAAACTTACGTTTTTACTGGATCCCTTTGGCCTTTGGGTGGACAATAGACTTTAGGAGAGCAAGGATTGAAATAGAAAGTCCTGTTAGCCTGAGAAAGATTGGAGTGGCTAGGGCCAGGGTGGCAGGGGTAGAGGTGGTGAGCAGTGAGTGCAGTTCGGATATATTTTGAAGGTAGTTCCTATGGGTTGTATCAAGAAATTGAGAAACAGAGCACGAAATGATGCCTTATTTCAGGGTTCTAAAGCCAGACCGCTGGAGAGATGCAGATGCTTCTTGAGGTCTCAGCTTGAAACTGGCATAGCATAACTTTTGCCACCTTGTACTGCTCCAAGCAAAGAGAGTAGAGGCTCCTTTCTTGATGGAGGAGCTGTGAAGTCACATTGCAGACAGTATGGGCAGAAAGAGGCCATTAATTATAAACATCATTCTAACACACAGGCTTGAAGGAGAACTGGGGTTTGGAAGGAGGACCTGAGGGATCAGTTGTGAATCTCCTTGGATCTACGGGAGAAACAGGCTTGTCCTGCCACTGTCCCTTATCCTACCTCCCTATTTTCTGGGAAGCACGAAGCATAGCTTCTCTGCCAGCTGTGGGTTTTAACACTAGATCTGTTCTTTCTCAGAAAAGACAATCTCATTGAAAGTACTTCTGTAATTGTCTTAAGTTTTCATAGAAGTAACACTAGAAGTTGTTTTGCAAAATGCCTCGCATATGACCCTTTTTCTTGCACAGTTATCTTGATCATGTTGCTTTTTCCACAAATAATGATCGTACCCTTCCCTTGTAGGATTATGCCCATATGTTGACCTGTGTTACTGAAAGAGAAAAGTTTATTGTGCCCATCAAAGCTAGAGGTGCGCGAGCCATTCTCGATTTTCCTGACAAGCTGAATTTTTCCACCTGCCCTGTCAAATACAGCACCCAGAAGATTCTGCTGGTACGAAACATTGGCAACAAAAATGCTGTATTTCACATCAAAACTTGTAGGTATGCATGCCTTTGACTCTTATGTTTGATTGATTATAGCTAAACCTAGTCAGCTCAAGTGATTTACTACAATAACATCGAGGGTGGAACTGCTTGTTACAGTCTTCAGTTGCAAAGCTGGGAGACCTCACTGATGAAGGATACACTTCCTCTTCATCCTCAGAGGAAACTAAAATTCAAGGTTTAACATCTCATATCCATATTACACTAAATCCTCTTACCTGTTTGGTTTTTCAAAATACTGGATAAAAGTGCTTCTTTCAATACAGAGAATGGCCCATGGGAATATAGAAATAAATTTGTTTGGATCGAGAATTTTATAACTGGCTTGATCAGTTTCCTGTTGCCATTGTAACAAATTGCCACAAACTCAGAGGCTTAAAACAACACAAATTTATTATCTTACATTTCAGTGGGTCAGAAGTTGCACTGGGCTAAAATCAAAGTGAGAGCAGGGCTGCATTCCTTTCTGGAGGCTTAAGGGGAGAGTACATTTCTTTGCCTTTTCCAGTTTCTAGGGGATGTCCACATTCCTTGGCTCATGGCCCTCAGTTTTCTCATTTGGAAAATGGGGAAAAGTATACTGGCCACTTCATAAGGTTGTTGGGATAATCAAAGAAACTGCTGGTACATAGCAAGTGCTATAGAATCAGTGTTTGCTCTTTTCCTTTTCCTTCAGATGAGCTATGGCCAGGGTGGTTGACAGAATGATGGCTCTGAATATATGTCCATATCCTAATCCCCAGAACCTGTGACTGTGTCATGTTGCATGGCAAAGGGGAATTAACATTGCAGGTATAAATAAAGCTACTGATCAGCTAATGTTAAAATCGGGAGATAATCCTGGGTTCACAGGATGAGCCCAACGTAAGAGCCCAATGTAACCGACAAAGGCTTTTACAGATAGAAGAGGGAGGCGGAAGACTTGAGAGTGATGAGATGTGAGAGGGACTCAACCTGCTGTTGCTGGCTTTGGAGAATGAGAAAACTGAGGGATAGAGAGGTTGTATCATTTCCTCAAGAGCACAGAGCTTGTAAATGATAGAGTTGGATTTTAATCTGAATACTTGTAGACTAGCCACAGTGTAGACACCATGGGACAGTATAAAGCAGGGGTCTCCAAACCCCGGGCCATGGACTGGTACCAGTCCAATGCATTGCCTGTTAGGAGTCAGGCTGCACAGCAGGAGGTGAGGGGAGGACAAGGGAGCAAAGCTTCATCTGTATTTACAGCTCCTCCCCATCGCTTGCATTACCACCTAAGCTCCGCCTCCTGTCAGATCAGCTGCGGCATTAGATTCTCATAGGAGCGCACACCCTGTTGTGAACTGTGCATGTAAACGATCTAGATTGTATGCGCCTTATGAGAATCTAATGCCCAGTAATCTGTCACTGTCTCCCATCACCCTCAGATGGGACTGTTTAGTTGCAGGAAAACAAGCTCAGGGCTCCCACTGATCTACATTATGGTGAGTTGTATAATTATTTCACTATATATTACAATGTAATAAGATAGAAATAACATGTGCAATAAATGCAGTGCACTTGAATCGTCCTGAAACCATCCACCCCACCCCTGATCTGTGGAAAACTTGCCTGGCATGAAACTCGTTCCTGGTGCCAAAAAGGTTGGGGACCGCTGGTATAAAGAATGATGAGACAACCCCATCTCTCAAGGACCTCTCTCATAAGATGGAAAAGAAGAATTTGTTTTGGGGCACGAGTGCGAGTGGCAGACCAGTGGGGTCTTAAATAGAACAACCAGCTTGGGAAGACAGGAAGCGGGGTCAAGCTCTTTTCTATGACTTTTTAAAAAGCAGTGTGAACTGGATTTAAGTTCTCTTTCAGAAGGGTTTTATCTGTGGCATCCTTTGCTGGCTTAATGAACTCATTTGTTCAGAAGGGAATGAAATTTGCTTCCACCTGGTTCCCAAAAGTTAGGCTACTATGGGGTACTGTTTTGGTAATTTCCTGCCTTAGGAGTCCCTGGCCTGATGGCTCATACGCAAATCCCATGCTTTCATAAGATACAAGTTCAAGTTATGAATGTCCTAAAGAAACTTTGTTTCTTTAATTTGAAACTCAGACATTTTTTTTTTTTTTTTTGCTGGTGGGAGAATGTTTGGGGAGTCCTTCACATTTCTGAGGTTTATAGAGGAATCTGGTACCAGTCCCCTAACTTAA